CCCCCAAGGTGTCTGAGACAGAAGGCCCCCTCTGGTGCTTTAGCCCCCCCGCACCCCCTTTGTGTCCATACAGGCCCCCTCGGTTTCTGTGCAGGCCTGTCTGTCCCTCCCCCTTCCATGCAGGCCTGCCCCCTGCTGTTTGTGTATTTCCCTTGTGACAGTGTAATGCTTTATCTGACCACTAGGGCTCTTGCTGGTGCCGGTGGGTTGGCATGCCTGTTGACTCCTGCCCGTGGGCCCACTGATCCATCCTGGCACAACCTCTCCCCCCGCCCACTGTAGCCCTATATGCCCCCTTCTGGCGAGGAGTAACCACCTTCCACAGACTCCTTTCGGGTTCTTCTTTCCACGGGTTTCTCCAATCAGGGGAGGCTAATTATCTCACCCCTCACCCGCCTCCTCACACTCCTCCAGAGGGTAAATTAAACCAAGAACCCAATTGCTCTAATTAGAGCTTACTTAACACTTGATTCATGCCTTTATTCTCTTTCGGCGCCTTACCCGGCTCCTTGCTAATTGTCCAGTTAGGCTTTTCTTTCCACTTCTGGCTTATCAGGAGGAATGGAGATGGGCTGTGGGGAAGAAGAAGGAGTCCCAGGCATTACTGAAAGTGCTGTGTTATGATAACGAGCTATAGCAAGACTAAGACCAAAAAAAAAACATAATTAAAACAGCTCTGTGTGGGATTCTCATTCTCCTTGTGGCTCGGAAGCCTTGGTTTCCTGTTGCATTGTGGGGTGGATGACAGCTCTACATTCTTTCGTGTTTGTTTGTTTTCAGTATCTTCATGGGACAAACAGAGGTGGGTGGTACTGCTTTGCGTTTGGTCTCTGTGTCATAACTGATGGGGCGGGGGGGGGGGGTTGTACCGTCTCATTGCCTCCCATGGTCATCTCAGTGGGATTTTGTTTAATAAGCATCAGCTCCTGCTGAAAGATGATTGGTCCCCGAGTGCCACCTTCCCTGTCATTCACCTATTCAAAACAAATCATTGGCTAATGATATGGTTCACCTCAGTGTTTCAGTTATGGTGCGTCTTTCACCATTCGCCTTTAAAAAAAAAATCCTAGAATGGTTAGAATGAAGGTGAGAGTAGGAAAAAGTGCAAAGATGTGAAAGTCAGATGGCTTTCGTTCTGAGGTGCGAAGGAGCCTCAGACTCCCAGCAGCTGCAGCCCCCCTCTCTGCTCACACAAATTGGCTGTTTTTTCTGTCTCACAACACCCCCGCCCCCGCCCCCCCCCGCAGTCTGCTTGTATGCACCCAGGTGGACCTGATTTCCAGCTCCCGTTAAATACAGTGCTTAGCAATCCCTCGCGCATCTCTCCCCTGCCCCCACCCCCGTAGAACCAGTTCATTAGTGTGTCGAGGTGCCTTCCTGCCAGGGCTACGGACCACTGAGCTGCAGCCCTCAGCATTGCGGGTGGAACCATCCATGGCGGCAGGCTCCGACTTGCTCTTTTTTTGCTTGTGTTGTGTGCAGTGTCACTAAAGACAAGATGGCTGAATCACTAATTTATAGCTTCTGGATGCTGATTGGCTTAAACATGCTTAAAACCCAATTATTTATTTTGTACCTGTTGGGCGTCCATTTTTAGACATTCAGAACATCAATTTTAAACAGCTTGTTTTTCACCTGGATGTATAACACAAAACATCCGGTGTTATTCTGTTACACACAAATATCTTTATGTATAATTTTAATATTCATCTTTCCATCTTAACCTGGTCATAGTCATGGGGGGTGGAGCCTATTCCAGGCACAAGGTTGGGGTGAACCTTAGATGGCATGCCAGTCTGCCACAGGGCACTTTTGGGTCGTGTCCCACCAGTGGAGAATCACTGCTCTTTTGACATTTTAGAGGTACTAATTAATCTCGGAATTTGGGAGGACACGCATACAACAAGGGTAGAACATGCAAACACCACACACACAGGGTGGAAGTTAGGGGTGAGAGGCAATAGTGTTACCCACAATGCCACTGTGCCACCCATAAGGTCCACATAACTCCTGCAGTTCCATATTTGGAGACCATGAAGGATTTTTTTTTTATCCTCTGAGGCTTCAGTCTCCTTTGTGGGTGCTTCTTATCCCAAGAAACACCTGTGCCAATGGAAATCATCAGTGAAGACACTTTAATATTAGATGGAGGACATTGGCTTGATTTGTGAGTAACTCTAGGTCTCTCCTTTTCTACCGTTCAAAATCCCTTTGAAATTCATAGAGCTGTTTCTCCTGGAGAAGGGCTGTTTCATCATCATTTGTCCCTCACACAATGGGTGTTGAGTCTCCCGAGATGGGCTTTCAGAGTCATTCCTCTTCCACATTAAATCACCTGTCCACGTGTGCTGACAGGGAAATATTTAACCATAGGAAATGAAACAAAAGGAGAGAAGGAATGGTGTGACTCGAGACTGAAAATAAAGTGGTCCTTCAGAAAGGCTTCTTTCTGAAAAGGACTAGCCTATGAAGGAGACTGCTCCAGATGGTAGCTGAGCGCTTCAGACTAGAAAG